AATGCTGAAAATAGATAATGAACCCAAATATGGGCAAATAGATACCGGGAAAAACATAGAACAAGATACACAGTGTGACCACCCTACGCCCTGCCATAGACCTATAAACACATACAACATTTGTGTACCGCGTAAAACTGTATTCGCCTGAAACTGAAAAACTGAATCACCGTGTAATAGTTGGTGGCCGTCTTTTCCTAGGTCCCGCCACAAGAAGAAAAAGTACTGAGCGGGGTCGCTTGGAGACGCGCTGTGGCGGATGGAGCGAGGGCTTAGACAGTGTTACGCCCGCCTGGGACTCGTGTCCCCTTCGCGCTACGAGTCCATTGTAATTACATTAATTGCACCGAAGAAATAAGAGATATTGACAAAATTACCTGAAAGATTATGACAAGATATGTCAAGATATGACTAGATTAATTGAAAGATTATTCACTAGATATATGAGGCGACTAGTTGATGACAATATTATTTGACAATATATTACTAACATTATTGACAAGTTACTGACAAGATTATGACTCATATATGACAAGAAATGTGACAATATCAGACAAGATTATCGACTAGTTATTCGACAAGTTACTAGAAGATTATGGTCGGCGGGGGGAGGAGAAGGACCGAGGAGGGGAGGAGAAGGAGGATAAAGTAGGTGTAGCAGCGAAGTCGCAGGCCTAGAGGAGAGCGTCCCCGTTTAGAGGTCCTAGCGGAAGAGAGAAAAGAAGGTGTACCTCGAAAGACAACTAGGAGTTGTTTTTCACGCATAGAGGGTTAGACGAACAGCAGTCATTGCCAAGGAAGTCAAGAGAGACTAGGACCAAGGAAAGAGTCTCACAGGTAGAGACCGAAGCAGGAAGTAGAAGCAGAACTCCATCTAAATGTCAGCCCTTCCAAGTAAGAAGGTTGACGAGGGAGTTCTACAAGGCGAGTACAGCGTAGGTTGGAAACGAAGATGTACCAAGGAAGACAAGAAACTGCAGACGCAAGAGGAAATCTTCGTCAGATAAGAGAGGTCAGGAGAATGCGGGAGGTGTACCACAGAAATCCAAGCAGCACTTAGCGTCCAAGAGGAAACGTTACGCAGATAGGGAGGTAGGACCAAGAAGTAGTGTTCCAAGAAATCAAAGACACTCTAGGCCCAAGAGGAAATCCGTTTCATAGGATAGAGAGAAGGAGACTCGAAGCAGGTTTTCAAGACACTACTGGCGACCAAAGGAGATCGTCTTCCGTAATGAGAAGGGAGGGAAAGAAGGATGTTACAAGAAATCCAAGACCAACTAGGTCAAAGAGAATCTTCGTAGATAGAGAGGTAGGAAAATGAAGGAGTCGTTCCAAGAGAATCCAAGCACCTGGAGACCAAGAGGAAAGGTTCGTAGATAGAGAGGATAGGAAAATAAGGAGTGTCCCAAGAAGATCCAAGCACACCTGGGAACCAAGAGGAAATACGTTCGGAGATAGAGAGGGTAGGAAAGAAGAGAGTGTTCCAAGAAATCTCAAAGACACTCCAGGCCCAAGAGGAGATCGTTGCTAGAATAGAGAGGAGAAATGAAGAGTGTCCAAGAAATCCAAGACACTCTAGCGACCAAGGAGGAAACGTCGTAGTATAGAGAGGTAGTAAATAAGGAGTGTATCCAAAAATCAAGACCCTAGGACCAAGTGAGTAACCAGTTTCATATCATTGGAAAACAGAGTCAGGCGAAAAAATAAAAAAAAGCTACGAATTTTTTAAAACACAATCCACAGAGCATGAATTGACATTAATGCAAGTATTTGTTGTGCAAAATAGAAAAATGTTCAAAGTACAATTTCAGTGCAGTAGCAGCGGAGATGGGTAGAAAAGTGACTGGTGCTGGATGAGGGAAGGTTGTGTGTATGTGTATGTGGGGGG